GTGATGCACAGCTGTATTTTCAGCATCATTACTCCAGTCTTCAGTGTCACATGATCTTCAGAAATCATTCCAATATTCTAATTTGCTGCTCAAGAAACATTTATTATTATTCTTATTATGTTGAAAACAGCTGAGTAGAATTTTTTCAGGTTTCGTTGATGAATAGAAAGTTCAGAAGAACAGCATTTATCTGAAATAGAGATCTTTTGTAACACTATAAATGTCTTTATCATCACTTTTGATCTATTTAATGCATCCTTGCCAAATAAAAGTATTAATTTCTATCATTTATTTTCCAAAAAACTGACTCCAGGCTTTTGAATGGTGTAGTAAAAGGGTCTCCAACCCTGCTCCTAGAGAGCTACCATCCTGCAGATTTAAGCTCCTCAAACACACCGGAACCAGCTAGTCAAGGTGTTCAGGGTTACTTGATAATTACAGACAGGTGTGTCGGAGCAAGGTTGGAACTGAAATCTGCAGGATGGTAGCTCTCCAGGAGCAGGGTTGGAGATTCCATTCGGTTGGTCTTGTTTGCATCTTTTGAGACTATACATATACAGATCCTCCAGTCAACCAGGACAGTAGATCTCCAGGAGCAGGGTTGGAGACCTCTGCCCTAAAGAATCTACATGGGAGGCAGGATTCAAACCAACGATTTCCAATGTTTCCAGTTTTGAGAAGGTTGATTGGATGATCTGTTGATTCAGTCTCAAAAGACACAAACTAGTGCAACAGAGCTAGGACAGATGATCTGGAGGTATCATCATTAACTAAGTACACTTATAATGTTAATGAAGTTTAATGAAATTAGTTTTATATAACAGTATAGACCATTATTCATTATCTCTCTGATCCCTACATTGGCTGTTTTTGCTACTGTACCTTATAGACTTTTGTATGCAAATGACTTCTGTTATGATTGTCAGATGAATACTGTATGAGGAAGTAAAGGAAACTATCGTTTTCCATGATGTCACCTTTGAAAAGAAAAGCATTTGTTCTTTGCATGACACTCCCATTGATGTTTGTATGAGTTGGGATTATTTAGTGTGAAAGTGTGTTATGCTGGAAGAGCCAAACTTGTGCTGGGTGTTAAAACCACTTATGCTCAGGGCGGTTTTTGGTATTTTCGCCTAAATTTGACATACTCAAATTCAAATGTTTACCCTGCACACATACAATGGAGGAAATGAAAAAAAATGGTTTCATTGTAAAGAAAACCCTTTGAACTACAAAATATGAGTGTAATTCTTTATAAATAACATTATATACTTTTCAAATATTACTATAAACACAAAAAAAACATAGGCGCTTTTGGAGTTTTAAAACAAATTATTTTTTTTAAATTCTGTAATTCAGGTTCTATTAGGTCCAGCTCTCTGCAATTTACTTTGTTTGATGCCACTAGATGCCAAAAAGTACCAGAAAAAATAATCTTTCAAATAACAGCTTCTAAACAGGAGTTATTACATTATATGTGAAGCGAGTCAAATTGTCTATTTCTGCATCTAAATGTGTCATTGTGAGTTTCCTTTGCAAAAACAGGCTTTATAAAACACATTAACCCCAGAATCCTACATTACTCTGTGCCATAAGCACTTTAATTGATTATTAATTGAATTATGTTTCATTTTTATGTTTTTCTAAGTAGTAATATACAAAATGGCACAAGCGAATTGGACCAAATTTCACATATTGTGTATTCTACAATGTTTAATTATTTCAGGATGCACAAGACTGTCTACATTATAAAATATATCTGGTCTATCACAATCTAAAATAGAATCCATATCCTCCAGCTTTATATCATTCCATTTATGTGCATTCTGTATTGGGATACTGATTCACAGCATCCTCTCACCTCATCAGTTGACTCATTCCTGTATCCAGAGCATCTCTCTGACAACAAGGTTGCATCATCCCTGGACCAGAGGTGAGCTAATTCGCTAGCCGGCAGCTAGCTGTAACATTCAGAGCGTCAAACAAACACATATCATGACATAAATAATACAATTTCAGGATTTTTTCTTGAACATTGAATTAATGTTTGTGAATACATCATTTTTTTGTACATTAACATTTGTATTGTATATTTATTAATATACATAATTTATCAAAGTTAATATATATATATATATATATGTGTGTGTGTGTGTGTGTGTGTGTGTGTCTGTGTACACCTTTAATCTGATACTTGTTTACAGTGACCCTGACTATTACTGTATTAATTTTCAAGTTAAATATATTGTACTATTTATGTACAAATTAAAGGCAAATCACTCCAAAAGTCAATGTGCATTCTCACACTTTTTCATAAAAAGCACTTACTCACAAAATGCTTTCCTTTATAGGTTTGCTCATTCTTCCAATTGATTCAAGTTCACAGTCACCTTGACTATTACTGTATACATTTTCAAGTCATTGTACTGTTACTCATAAAATGCTTTCCTTAGGTTTGCTCATTCTTCCAATTGATTCAAGTTCACAGTCACCCTGACTATTACTGTATAAATATTCGTCAATTTACTGTATAGTTTTGGAGAAAATTAAAGGAAAATTCACCCCAAGCATGAGTGCATAAGCACTTTTACAGCATGTCCCATTTTCAAACACTCATATAAATCTTTCCTTTAAAGGTTTGCACGTTCTTTCAATTGATTCCTGTTCACAGTGGCCCTGACTATTACTGTATCTGTCTGTCAGTGATGGAGCCCTTAAAATCAGCATCTGACATTTGAGAAGAGGATAAAACTGTATGACTCAGAGGACTCCAGTGGCAACCTGTGAAGCTCTGGTGAACTCCATGCCCGGCTACACATTAGTGAGTGAAGATGAGCAGATGATCCTGGTGAAAAAGGTGAAGGTGGCGATCAGTTTGTCATTAAAAAGTTCAACACAGGACAGGTATGATGAACACGTAAAGTTTGAAATGATATATAAGTTTAGGTTTATTGAAAAGAGAGAAATTCTGATACACGTGTATCTGTCTGTTTTTAGGAATATAATTTAAACTTTCATCTACAACTCAATCATCCACACATCATCCATCACAAGGTTGAAAGAAACTTCTAAATTAATTCTGTTAACACATCTAAAGTTATAGGAGTATATTTATTCTCATTTACAGTAGTTTGATCACTTTAATGATTTAAAATCCTGTAATGAGTGAATCTGCTTTCAGGTCCTGACTGTCTGTATCTTGTACTGGAGCTCTGTGAGGGTGGAGATCTTGCTCAGAAAATCAAACTCAAAATACA